GTCAAGAGGCTTTGAGAAAGCAGAAGGAAGCGCGCAGCGCGCGTTTGAAAGCGCTCGAAGAGATGGAGAAGGAAGCAGAGCAGGCTAGAATTGAAGAAGAGATGTACCAAGCCAGGTTGAATGCGTTGAAAGAACGTCCTTCTGTGTCCCCGGCGCCACCTTCTTCTGTCCCTACTGCTAGCTCTCCTGCCGTAAATCTTCCTGTTGCCTCTCCTGCTGCCCCATCTCCGCCGCCACCACCAGCACCACCCATTGCCAGTCCTCCGGTATCTACGCCCGATAAATCCAGCACAAATCCATTTAGTCGTCTCATGAATCAAGGAGCGGGAGCTGTTGCATCTCCACCCGCTGTTGCGAGCTCGAATCCTTGGGCTAAACCTTCGACAGCGGCTGCTCCAACGCCACCTCCCGCTATTAGGACTCCAAGTGTTCCTACACCTGTCTCGTCTGGACCTAGATCATACAACACGGCTCCTCAAGATGACGATGATGACTGGGATATGATCAAAGAGAAGGAGGATGATGATGATAGCAGCGATGATGAAATTTCTTCTTCCAGGGCTGTTCGAAACGACATAGCAAATAAGTTGTTCGGTAATCTCATGCCTCGCCCTCAATCTGGTGCTGGGTCCAGTCCAAGCTCGCCTGCACCAGACGCGAGCTTTACCCCTAAATCTAAGTCTCCTGCACCTCCTGCACCTCTACCTCCAACGATGGGTGTTCCGCCGCCTCCACCAGCGCCGCTCATGGCTCCTACTGCTCCACCGCCACCTCCTATGGCCGGTGGAGGTGCGCCACCTGCTACCCCTGGAGGTCGCGGTGCATTGTTGAGTTCTATCCAAGGCGGACTCCGGTTGAGACCTACAAAGACTTTGGACAAAAGTGGTCCTCAGCTATCCGGAAAGGTACTAGCTGATGCAGCTCCTCCGGAACACATCACCACCGCTGTTCGACCCCCATCGCCGCCATCACCTCCCGTAACAGCTCCCGAGGCCCCTGCCATGAGCGCGAAAGATCACCGTCAGTCAGTGGATTGGTATGCTGGATTGGCGGCGGATGCTGGGAAAATTGTACCTCCTATAGTTCCAACCACGATCAGCGAAGACGCCGAACCGGAGCCGGAGCTAGAACCGCACCATGCATCGATTCCAGATATCCAAGTCGATGTTGCAGACCCAATTCATGATTTGATGGCTGATATCGACAAGTCGATCAGTGAGTGGTCTTGCCATATGTTCTGGAATGTACTCTAATTCTAACTTCATATGAACAGCACTGTCTGTAAGGTCACTCTATGCGTTCGAAGGGGATGGTCCAGATGATCTAAGTAAGTTTTTATGTCGCCCCCCAACTCAATGCTGATCTTCGGACCGGACAGGCTTTGGAGAGAACCTTATACTCACTGTTCACCCATCAAAGACGGGTGGCGATTGGTGGTATGGCACTCTAGACTGTACCGGAAAGTCGGGTTTATTCCCAAAGACTTATGTACAGGAAGTAACAAAGGGTTGGTTTTTCCTTCATTCTCCATGAAATATGTCTTATTCTCTCGCAACAGTCAAGGCTAAGGCGCTTTATACATATACTGGAGAGAATCCGGATGAGTTATCAATGGCGGAAGGAGATCAAATTACTATCATTGACCAGAGTGAAGAAGAATGGTGGAAGGCAGAACAAGGTGGTGTGGTGTTCATCGTGCCCGCGGGATATTTAGAAGTTATCCAGGGTTAGTCCAGGTTACTACATCCCCTATGTGTTTCTGTTTACCCCCATTGTCGTGTGAATAACAGGCTGAAGTTGCTTTTTTTATGGTTTTTTTTTTTCTCATGTACCACCTTCAAATACACCTCGAATCGAAATGGAATGGAACCTGATATTCAGATAAAACTTTTCAGACCGCGAGCACTGCAACCTTTCCTAAAGATTCAAAAAACGCACCAACAGTAACCGCAATTGAAGCGGGCCCTTCTTCATTTCCTGTGGTGGAAAATATTCACAAATTAGAGCGGGCTGAACCTGATGATGCTGATGATGATGCTAGTGACTCCTCAGATACTGACTATCATTCGTTTGAAGACAGCGATGGCGAGGATAACAGCGAAGAAACACATGAAGAACGCGAGGCACGCCGCGAGCACGAACGTCAGATGGTATTAGAAGCTGCTGGCCTAATTGTCAAAAAAGATGCAAACCCACCTCCAAGACCTCCCAAACGAAGAAGACGACCTCCACCTGCTGCCCCGCAAAGGCAGTCCGTTTCATCTATATCCTCGAAGGACCTACCTACGATTCCCGAGTCTCATCTTCAGGGCCCGCAGACAAATCCCCTAGATGACGCTTTCGAAAGATACGAAGCTTTCCGCTTAGCACAGTCAGACGTAGCCAACAACCGCCTCTCCGCTGCATCTTTTGACACTGGGCTATCTTCCCCAGCAACCTCGGTGACGATGTCAACTGCGCCTTCTAAAGACGGTGAAACTCGTTCACACTCTGGGATCTTCCACTTCCTCGGACGGTCCAAAACTCCCGTGGATAGCGAACGACGTACACTGACTATTTCTGCTCCTATCCTCAGCAATTCTTCCAGTGATGATTCTTTGCGCTCCAACAGCGCCGCGTTCGGGAGCGTGAGTTTTCTTCGACATACTTTTTTCATACTTGTTGTTTAGAAAGGGTTCACATCTAGTCTTGGGCTAGTCTAGTGGATAAATCCGCATTAGATGGCATTCCTCCTAACGAAAGACGCCGACAGGAAGTAAGGAAAACACATTTTCTATGTATTATGTGCGCTCAAGATTTTTTCTAGGCCATCTTCGAGCTAATCGCCACCGAAAATGCCTACGTGCACGATCTACAGCTTATCGTCGAGGTAGGAGACAGTTTTCTTGGTTTGTGATTATACACGATTGATATGCTTTATTCTTGAGATTTTCTACTCCAAGTTATTGCCCCTCTTGGATAGAAAAGCGATAACTGTGATTTTCGCCAATATCGAAGATATATTGCTAACAAACATTGTACGCAATCAATATCCCTTTTGCTCCTGCTGTTTGATTTTATTCCCCTCCATAGACCTTCATGAGCTCGCTTGAAGAAAGACAGAAAGAATGCAGGCTTTACATTGACCGTATCGGTGACATATTACAAAATTACATGTCAAGTATGGGTGTCTATATGGTGAGCATTGAATGACACTGTGCTACTATATTATCAAACAAGAACAGGGATATTGTGTCAACCAAGGCAATGCCATCAAGGTGCTACAAGATATCCGCGATTCGAATTCAGAAGTAGCGCTGCAACTTCAACGCATTCGAGAGGGTCCGTCTTCAAGGAACTTAGACCTATCCAGCTACCTGCTGATACCGAGTGAGTAATAAACTCAGCTGTTCAGAACGTTTCAGATATATTTACCCTGGTTTCAAGTGCAACGCATCACAAGGTATCCTCTGCTCATTCGACAAGTACGTCTGTATGATTCCTAATTTTCAAGCATATATATACATACCTTGGAATCTTTCAGATTTCCCACTACACTTCACCAGGCGAAGAGAAGGATTCCATCGAGCGCTCCATCGAGACTGCGCAGCAAATTCTCAATCATATCAATGAGACTATTCGATATCAAGAGGGGCAAGAGACGCTCAAGCGAATATCTCAACATCTGTGGATCGGACAAGGGTGAGGACTCAGGACTCAGAGCTTGGCTCGTAATATTGGTCCATCTTACGTATCTCTTTCGACTCCAGGCGCCTTGATCTTACAGCTCCGACGAGGTATATGGGTACACGGAAACTCCTGAAAGAGGGTATCTTGACAAAAGCCAAAAGCGGACGAAGACTACATGCGTTCTTGTGTAGTGATATTTTGGTGCTTACCGATGATAAAGTGCAGAATCTGTATCGTATGGTGCGTGAGGAGTCGCCGTTCGAGAAGCTACTCCTTGCTCAGTTGAATGACACATTCTATAGCCTATCGCACTTTCAGAGACCCAGGTGAAAGATCTTCCTGGTAACCGAGGTATGTTGCTTGTGTCTTGCGGCCGGAACGTTCTTTCAATATCTGGTAGATGATCTTGGTTTCCAAGTTGCGCTACCGTTTCCTCGCGGTGGTGAGACTATCGGTCTGCGAGCTACTTCCGCCAGAGACTGCCAGGGTGCGTGCCTACGATATCGATTGAGTTTTTTAATAACACTTTGTTCCTGTTTTAGTATGGATACAAGGAATTGAAGATGCGAGCCGGAAGTGCAAGGAAGCGGAAAAACGGGCAGCCAGGAAGCAGCGTGCTTGACTGGTGTTTTCTTTTTTTTATTCTGAGAGGATACACTTTGTTTGCTTTACGGACACGGACTATACTGATCACTCACTATGCTATCTCACAATCTGACCATGACTTTTATGAATTTATTAGAACGCGACTGCGACTGATGATCGAATCTTTACGGAACGAACTCGGACAGTGAGTGGGGTTGTAAACTAGTGACTAGCCTGTGTGCGATGCGTAACTGCTGACAACATTGGTCGTGACGGTGGAATGCACCTACATCATATATAACTGCGCCACGCTGCAGCCACATTGTTGGGAGTGGGAGGTTTTATTGACGTTTGCATATATATTGACCGACATTTATGAAGCTCATATTAAGTCTTTCTCTGTACTTGACGTCGCAACTGATAATGACTTAAGGCCAAAAAATTTAATCCTTCATGGCAATACGATCCGAAGACATCCTAATCATCATAGTTCGTTTCTAGCACCTTTCGACTCAACGAATATATCCTCACACAGATATCATACAGTGCGCTATTATCCTCCCCCCTGTTGCGGTCTTCCTTATGAAGCGCCCTGTATCGGATATACTCATCAATATTCTGCTCACATTCTTCTTCTGGATCGGCGGGATTATACACGCACTATATCTATGGAACGAGCGAAAGAAAGCTTGGTTTTAGAGAAACTGTTGACGAATGCGGAGTACTAGCCAAATTTAGCCTTTGTCGGGCACATGGTGTAGTTGGTTATCACATCCGCTTAGCATTTGCTGGTTCTGCGGGGGGTGCTGGGTTCAATTCCCAGTGTGTCCATTTGACGTTGTTTTTGACATATTTCGCTTTTTTTGTAATTTTCATTCGATGATGGGTTGTGAACAATTAAATTAGACGAATAATATGCTGCCTTCAATGAATACTCAACAATTATGCTCCATCTCTAATCATCATCTGATGAGACACAATCTGTAATGAAAACTTATCTTCTCCTTCGCCTCCAGCACATAAGACAAAATTCCAACCAATGCATAGTTTTGCCTCATCCACCTTCCCCTTTCCCTTCTTATCAATTTTGGGATCCAATAGGTCCAAAATGTTTTCGGCATTTAACATGTCCCAAATCTCATCATCAGTAGGTTCGGCCATTTTGCGCTTGAGTTCCGCTTGGACGCCTAGGTACACCAAGACATCACTTCTTCCACTTTTCGCTCCCTCCTCGGGGGAGTTCCCAAGATTACCCAAATACAATACATCATACGCTACTTCCGCTTGTCCTCCACGTGGAAAGAAAGTATATGCGCGCTGCGGATCGAGGAGTAACAGGGCAGGAGTGATAACTGTAGGTGTTTGTATGGGAACAGGCGGACCTCGAAGCCGGCGGGATGAAGTGAAAGAATTTGGATTGAATGCAGACATTGAAGTGGCAAAATGTGATGCAAAGGCATGCGTGGGGCTCTTGTCAATGGATATACCAGATGATGTTTCGGGAAGAATGACAGTGCATGAGAACACTGCGTTCGGAGCGTAGGCACGAGCAAGGCTCGCACGGTCGTACTCCCAAGAGTTGATGTATCTGCAAAACAGTTAGTGCTGAATCAAGTCAGACATGTTGACCAAAATCACCGTCGAAGGAAGTCAATTGCCCCTCGTTCCATTTTGGCTTTCTCGTCCATATCCACCACCGTGGTAGGAGATCTATGCAAGCTTGGATATCTATATCCCTCCGTTTCTTCGCTCGACGTTTGAGCCGCTTCCACTCTGGGTGGATGTCGTATACTGCTGTCCGTCTCGAATTTGGGAAGTTCAACAGACTTGATGAGATGATCGGGGTCATTCAGTTCAGGATCGAGACCAAGCTCGTCCCGAACCTGCCTCTCTTCTTCCGTGTCTCCTGAATCATCAGCGCCGGTGAAGTTGCTACCTTGTGCCTCACCAACATTTACTTCTTCGATGTTCGTAAGAGTTTTCGCAGTTGGTAATGTTGTCTGAATCACTGGGGGAGCATGCATGCTTAAACTGCGGATAGAGGGATCATCATGAATCAGATGAGGATTGAGGGGAAGTCCAGATGAATTGAAAAGCGAAGGGGTAGGGGGGATTAAATGACGGAAAGTCGGTTCTGGATGACCCATGCCCGACCGAGAAGAATCTTGACTTGGTGTCCGCCCAGAACCGAGACGAACGAGTAGCGGAGGTTGGTACATAGGGCGGTCATTGGCGCTCTTGACGACATCGTTTTCTTGACGTTCAATGTTGGGAAAGGAATTGGTTTGTGGAGGATTGGGAATGGAAGGAATGGACGGCTCTTCGTCAATAGTGAGGTCTATGATGTCCACGTCCGAGGGTGAGAATTTGGGTTCCTTGAGCTGAGAGTTCATGCTCTGATTGGACTGTGATTTCTTAGGCTCGTCTGGTAGCCTTGGATCTGGATGAGGCTCAGATTTGACCCGAACATTATTATCGGCCAGCAAAAACAGGTCGTCGAACGTCGCTCCCATTGATTTAGGAGCCTCCTGCCCTCGAGCATCCTTTCTCTTTCTTGTTTGCGAATCCGATGTTCTTTCCTTTCCCTTGACGTTATTTTTTCCACCTCCGGCTTCTGCATCTCCTGCATTTTCCCGAACAGCAGCCTTTTCCCAATCTATACAAAGCCCATCATCTCGCCATAGAGCTCTCCGCGCTATCATACCCTTCGCACGGAGCTCATCTATGGCACGTCGAGTATACTCGGAGCGTGCAGTGTTGTAATGCGGGTTTGGTACTAGCCGAGAACGCGAGGTTTGATTGGTGTTTGGATTTGATTTGGAGCTTGAAGGATCAGTTTCAGGGAACAAGGAATTGACAGAGGAAGAATAATAGAATTTGAGGCAAGATGGAGGAATTGGATGATATCTCTCGGTACCAGACGTTCGATTATTGGATGGTGCGAGATCAGCAAGTTCGTCATCAAGTGGCTCGTCTTTGATTTCTGTGGCCCCACTGCACGACTGACGCGGTGTTTCCTTGGAAGCGTTTATTTGTGCTTTTGATGTCGTACGCGATGCATTCGAAAGAGGACGAGAGGGAACAGGAGAAGAAGGAGGATATACGAGTTCGTAATCGTATTCACTCGACTCGAGTCCAACCTTTTCAGCGGTGGTGTTACGCTGCAGCAGATTATTGTCTGTGCCATCGGCCGGCCCATCAACTCTGCCTCCATTCGAGATCGACTTGGCACCCTCAACTGAACCGTCATTGTCAACCAGATCCTCTCGCACAGGTATTTCCTCCGAAACAATGTTCATGACATGCTGCTCTAGATCATCTTGCCTGAGCTCCTGTTCCTGCACCTTTCGCCGTTTAGTCTTCCAAGGGCCCCCGGGAAGCAAATGGCTGAAGTCTTTCTTCCTATATTCCCGCGGTGCGCTACTTTCACTAGACGGCGAAGAGATGCTCATCGACGAAGACGAAGATAATGATGCAACAGAATCTGGGCTTGGCTGGTTTCTACGCTTCTGAGGGATGAGCTTGTAAGATTTAAGAGTTTTGTTCAATGCGACGGGAGGAAGACGATGTGGTGTAGGTGGATCATGGCGAGGTGAATCATGGCGAGGTGAATCATGGCGAGGTGAATCATGGTGAGGTGAATCATGGTGAGGGGGATTAGACAGTGGAAGGTTCAAAGGAGGAAATGAAGGTCGCACAGGCTGCATAGGTTGCGTCGATTTTGTGGGTAGGTTTGGACCTCTCCGATTTCCTCTTTTTCCTGCCCAATTACCCCGTCTGAGGTTCGTCGCGCCTCGTAAGGCATTTCCATTCTTACTCCCAAGGCCGATTCTACTAGTTGAAGTCGACGTTGACAGAACTTTGGGAACACCAGGAGCTATCGTAGTCTTTACACCAGTGAAGCCTTCGTTTGGCTGTAGATCCTCGGCATGCGGCGCTACTTTTCGGACTTTGACAGCAATATGTGTGGATTGGTTGTTGGGTGAATAAGGATTGGTTAAAGGTCGTCGAAATTTCTGAATACATACGTGTGTTCATGTTGCAAAATGGGGGCGTTATATTCTAGCTATATAACTTACCTTAGGCCTATCGCTGGTCCAATTGTTGCGACCAAATCTGTGTGAATTTGTCTGCGCAGATACTCCATCGTATTGGCTGCCATTCGCTTTGTTGGGCTATATGCATAAATTCAGAATGAAATCCTTGGCAGTTAGGTGTATAGCTGACTTTATACTCCATTCTATTATCACATTCGTTCGTGGCTGGAATGGTATTGGACTCCGCGCGCTTCCGAGAGTCAAAAGACGGTGCATGCCCTTGCTGCGAGTCGACATCTTGATTGACAGGGTGATTGTGATTCTGAGGTACATGTCCCGTAGATGAGAGCTTGGGAGAATTCATCTATACTGGGGTTAATGCAACCGAAGACTGAAAGAGATCACACACTCTGCCTCCACCGTTCGTCCTAAACTTCGCATTGACCAGCCGTGTTTTGTTACCGTTGTCGTTCCAGCTCCTAGATCCATTTTCTGGAGTTGTATCATCATGAGTCTGATAAGGGACACATGCTGCTAATCGACCAGCATTCCATGAATTGGTGCTTGGGTTCGGGTTCGATAAGCTGAGATTAAGACTGTTGGGTGTATATCCGGAAAGGGTTTTACTCGTATCAGATTCCCAGCTCTTTCCGTTCGTTTTCCAGCCTGATAAGCTCTTGTTCGTGCTCGAAGCCATGATCCATAGACTCGGAAGTGGTACGAATAAGTCAAGAAACGCAAAACAGTCCGCCAAAATAACCAAGCCACGTGCTTCTCAAACCTTATCTTTTATCTTAGCTCGGCGCCTATTTCCCCTCTCCGCCAATAAACGGTCTCTTTAGCTGATCACCTTTTGTCTTCTCAAGCGCACAAAGAGAGCAGTATGTGGGAGAAATACAATCTAATTATGTGTCTTCGATTGGTCAAACCAGGTATTTAGGACCATAGGTCACTTGTGACTACCTATCATAGCATGTCTTCCACCCTCTTTCGCTGGGCTTCTGGTAGAATGGCGTATTCATTCTCCAGACGTATTATCTCCAAACAAACTTCTTCTCTCCGCCGTTCTATTACTACTGCGACGATCAACGACGATTCTTTGACGATCCCCAGCCTTAATAACGCTACTTTTCCTTACATTTGGCTTCGTGACTCGTGTAATTCACGAGAATGCAAACATCCAGAAACGACACAGAAACTGCATTCGTCGACCGACTTTGATGTCGATATCCGGCCCAAGTTCGTGAAGATCGTCGAGGACGGTAAACCGGAGGGAGCGAGAGGGATACATATTGAATGGCCAGACGGACATATTTCTTTCTTTCCAGAGTCGTTTTTGAAGACACACTCTTCAAGAGACTATGTTGCGGGCTTCCGGAAAGATGTCGAGGCTGAAACGTGGGACGGAAAAGATATAGAGAACAGCAGAGATCTATATCTACACCATGACGAGATCAAGACCTCAGCTGGTTTACTAAGGGCCATCGATCAACTGTGTCGGTATGGATTGCTCTTTCTGGTACGTTCAATTGCTTCCCCTCAAAAAATGAGCTGCTCGTAAAAAGTCTCCTCGCTTTCAGAAAGGTGTCCCGACCAACACTACACCCACCGACCTTGCATTAACCGAATTGGCGCTCAGATTTAGTAGCGAAATTCGAGAAACCTTCTACGGTCGTATATTTCATGTCCAAAATACCAACTCCGAGAACATCGCGTACACCAACCTTAAGCTTGGCTTACACATGGACTTGCTCTATTTCGAGCACCCTCCTCGATATCAGATTCTCCACTGCA